GTTGAGCATGGGCCTACAGACTGAGTGGCTGACCTGTGTTATTTTAATTATCACTTATTCATTCAGGTTTGAAAATGTGCTTTGAAAAAAGGTTTTGTTGTTGTTGCTTCACTGAATATGTGAGGCAATATGTTGTGGAAAAAGTAGAAGCAGGGATGTGTGCGGACAGATACAAGGTGAACCAGAGCAAAAAAAGTTAAAAGTAATAATATTATAATAATAAACACCCTTTTATTTAGGTCCCCCGCGGAAGACCTAGGACACGCTGGGAGAGACTATGTCTCTCAGCTGGCCTGGGAACCGCTTGGGTCGTCCCCGGGATGAGCTTGGAGGAAGTGTGTGTGAATGGGACGTCTGGGTGTCTCTGCTTAGACTGTGCCCCGCGACCCGGCAACGGGATAAAGCGGCAAGCGAAAATGGATGGAATGGAACATGGATGGGCATTTTATTTATAATGCACTTTACATTTGAACACCAATCTCAAAGTGTACAAACAGCAGCTTCAATAAAAGCAAACACATAAAATAGTTAAAGACACACAAAAAAATTAGCAGTACGCTTTCGTTAAAGATGGGTTTTGGTCCCTTTTTAATGGCTTCCACCGTCTGTGGGGCCATGAGGTGGTCGGGAGGGCGTTCCACAGACACGGGGAGCAGCGGCCTCGAAGGCCCGGTCCCCATTTTCTTGAGCGTGTTTTTGTCTTGGGCGGGCGCAGACCGGGTGCTGTTGGCCTGACCGGGTTCTGCATGTGGCTAGTACGCCTTTGTTAGTGTGGAGTGAGGAGGTCCAGTGAGGTGGGGGCATCACCGTGGAGACAGTGAGTGGAGTGTGCAGGAGGATCTTGTATTCTATAGGAGGTGATAGGGGAGCCAGTGGAGGGTGTGAAGGTATGGGGGTGATGTGCTCATGCTTCCGCACCCTCATCAGGACCCTGGCCACGCTGTTTTGTACCGTTATGGAGCTTTTGGAAGGCTCCTGCAGGGATCCCGAATGAGGAGTGCGTTGTGCAGTAGTCCAACCTGGAGGAGACAAAATTGGCATGGACGAGCTTCTCTGCAGCCGGGAGCGAGAGAGAAAATAGATGTATTTATTGTGACTTAAAATCTGAAATGGTGCTTTTTTTGTCTGCCTTTAGCAAGACACTGTGGGCTCATAATTATGTATTTAGTACCTTTAAAATTGCAATATTGGATATCATAAGTCATTTAAGTTCTATACTAATAATTTTAATAATAATTAATGCAATTAAAAAATTCAGAATTAATTAAGTGCATTATTTAAAAAGCCCTCAGGCTCGGTCAGACCGCCGGTTCAAGTTAGCAGTGGATTTTAATAGAATTTCAAGCACTTATTGATTTAATTTTAAATCTGTTAAAACCTATTTTATGCGCAAGACTTTTATTAGTTCTAAATCATATGCAGGAAGTGTCTCGGAGAAATTGAAAGTTGTCGATTCTTCACAAAACAAGCCCAAAGGCAATGAACCTATGGACGGAAGAGGGTAAAATTCTCGTGAATGGGATGCGCCAGGAGGCATTTGTTCAGAGGGGGCGGAGTCAGATATGATATTAACAATATTTGCAACAGCTGTTATCCTGTGTAAGATTTTTTATTGTGGAAGTAGCAGTAGCAGTAGGTATAAACACAGTACTAGCCAGTAGTAGCAGTAGCATATTAGCAGTAGCAGCAGTGCAGTAGCATTCAGCAGCTAGCTAGTAGCAGTAGCAGCAGTAGCATTTAGCTGTAGCATTAGCAGTGCATTATCAGTGGAGCCCGCAGTAGCGTTGCATTATCAGCAGTTAGCCGTTCATTGTAGCCGTAAGTAGCAGTGCATTAGCTGGGTGTCGCGAAGCATTAGCATTTTAGCTGCCGCAGCAGTAACCCCATTACAGATTGTCCTTACTGCAGCAGCTTTAACCAACACAATACATATTGAGTAGCCTGGATGTGTCTATAAACGCCTCAGATCGTTCCAGGCCCGTGATCCTGAGTCTCTGGCGGACGGTCCGCTCTGAGGTGCTGTCCACAGTCTAAGGTTCATCTCCACTTTTATGATTTGTTTGGAAAGGGAGCTGAGATGTTTTGGCCCGTGGCGCTAACGTTGCAGACAGGAAATTAACAGGCAGACAAGCTCCGGAGTCTTCCTGTGTGCGGGCTGTGAGGACAAATCCAGATGTGGGAGAGAGAGGGAGGTGAGGAGCGAGGAAAGAGGGATGGCGAAGAGGTGAGAGAGGAGGAGCGATTAGGGGAGGGTGCAGAGAGACAGAGAAAAAAGAGAGGAGAGGGGCTTAGAGTAGATAGATGAGAAAAGATGGAGAGCGGTGAGAGAGAAAGAAGAGATAGGAGTGAGAGAGAAAGAGAAGGGCGGGAGGAGAGAGGTAGGCGCGGGGGGATAGAGAGAGAAGAGAGCGCGGGGAGAGGAGAAAGAAGAGAGAGGAGTGATAGACGAGAAAGAGTAAGGGAGAGGGAGGGGGGGCTAGAGAGAGAAAGACAGGGGAGGGATGAGAGAGACACAGCGAAAAGAGGCGAGGAGAATGAGGGGGGGGGGAGAGGAAGAGAGAAAGAGAGGGAGAGAGGGAGGATGAGAAGGTAGGAGAGGGGAGAGAGAGCAGGGCGAGAGAAGAAGAGAGAGGAGTCGAGAGAGATTTGTTCCTGAGTTAGTGAGAGAGACAAGAGAAGGGAGAGGAGATGATGAGAGAGGGAGGAAAGAGGGAGAGAGAGGAGAGAAAAAGAAGAGAGGCGGAGTGAGAGAAAAATAGAAGGTAGAGGATAGAGATGAGAGAGAGGAGAGAGGGCCTGGCTGGCAACGCAAGACACATCTGGCAACATGAATCTATGTGGAGGAGAGCTGGGGTTCAGAGCACAGGTGAATTTAAAGGTGATGTTGTAAGTTCAATTATATTTGATTCTAAGCATATTTTTCACCACATGACGATAAATAAAGTGCATCAGTTGTATTGGAACTTTTTGGTCTCCCATCCACAGAAACCAACCAGCGCCCGGCCCCTGCTTAGCATCAGCTGTCTAATTTTTTTTTCCACAATGCCATAAGAAAATGTAATAAAATCATCGCGGCAGAGGAGGAAAGCTCAGTGTGTCTTCTGCAAGTTGTTGAAAGTAGCAGCTGTTTTGTTTCGGTCTCTGTGTAAGCAATGAGCTCATTCATTTCAAATGGGGCGGGAAACGCTGTCAAAAACTCCTCACACGGAAACTTACTGAGTCAAATTGTATGGTGAAGAAGTCCTCATCTGTCTTAGTTATTAAAGACTTTGTTCACATTAGACTCTACTATTGATCAAAAAACAATATAATTGTTCAGTCAGATATGATGTCTGTGTCATTAGAGCCATATAAAAACAGGAAAAACAAATCTATTGGTGTTCCTGTGTCTCTCTCTTGGTCTCACTTTGGTCTCGGTTGTTGGTTCTCTTTGGTCTCTCTTTGGTTCTCTCTTAGGTCTCTCTCGGGGTCCACTCTTGGTCTCTTCTGGTCTCACTCTTTGGTCTCTCTTGGTCTCACTCGTGGTCTCACTCTGGTCTCCTCTTTGGTGTCTTTCTGGGTCTCACACCCATTTTGGGGGTGTCTTTCTGGTCTCACGCTTTGGTCTCTCTCTTGCGTCTCTCTCTGGTCTCTCTTTTGTCTCTCTCTCCTGGTTCTCTCTCTGGTCTCGTTCTTGGTTTCTCTTTGGTCTCTCTCTGGTCTCTCTCTGGTTCGTTTCTCTGGTTTCTCTTTGTCTCTCTCTGGTCACTCTCTGGTCTCGTTTCTGGTTTCTCTTGGTCTCTCTCTGGTCTCTCTCTGTTCTCTTCGTTCTTGGTTTCTCTTTGGTCTCTCTGCTGGTCTCTCTCTGGTCTTTCTCTGGTGTGTGTGTAAATTCCTCACGTGTGCCTCAGGGCTCAGTGTGAAGGCTTCAGACACAAAATCTGCTGCCCCGAAAACCCGACCCGATGCGTCATTAAGACTCGGTCACAGTTTAAAGCTCCGGGACTAACTTTATGTGTCAACTATACTACTGCTGCTGCTATAACTAAATAATACATTTCTGTCTGGTCTTGGTCTCTCTTGGTTCCTCTATGGTCTCTCTCTCTGGTTCTCTTACTAGTCTCTCTTGGTCTCGCTTGGTCTCGCCTCTAGTCTCTGGTCTCTCTCTTGTTTTCTCTAGTCTCTCTTGGTCTCTCTCTGGTCTCCCTCTGTCTCTTCTGGTCTCTCGTGTAGTCTCTCTCTAGTTCTCCTCTCTGGTGTCTTTCTGGTCTCTTTCAGTTCCTCTCTTAAAACTTGACCTTTCTTTTAATTTCTTTCTGGGACTTAGTGATTATAAAAACACCAAAAAAATTAAACATTCTGTGGGTATATTACCAAAATAATTCTTTTAAAACAAACCCAGAGAAAAGTCTTGGTTTTGAACTGTCTCTGAATTCACCTGTCCGTCTCGACACGGTGAATGACGAATCTGTTTAGTCAACCACAGTCTCATCCCACGGTATCTGGCAACCCTTAGAACGCCTAATATTTGGGGTGATCTCAAACCTGGATCAAACAATACAAAGATGGTTTGTTTCCAAATCTGGAAGGAGGCGTTAACCACGCAACAGCTTGAGTTAAAAACTGCAGCCCGCGACGCCGAGGCCCCGAAGCGTGCAGACGATCCCACTTAACCTGTCCATTACGGGAGGATCTTACTCTGAGGGAGAGGGGCGAGAGGAGGTCACAATATGAGGGGGAGAGGAAGAGGGGAGGCAGAGGAGGAAGAGGAAGGAGGAGGATAGGGGGAGGACAGGGAGGGCTACTGAGGAGGTGTCCACTACATGGGACTATAGTTCCGCAGAAGGGGGGGGGGGGGGAGAGGAGGGGGAGGAGAAAGTTGGGGGAGGACAGGGGAGGAAGGGGAAGAGGGGAGGCTGGACGAGGGGAGGTGGCTGCCTTAATTACGTAATCATATATTGTTTTTTCCAAACTAAAGAGAAACAGTAAAAAGGCTGGTTGTAGAACACTATTTGCAGTCCATGGTCCAGTCCTTGGTCATCCTGGTCCAGTCCTGGTTCAGCTGGGTCCAGAGCTAAAATTGAATTAAATGTGTTTACTGATCACTTTTCAGATAATACAACAGTCCATTGACTTGTTCCTTCGAGTAGGGCAAGGAAAACGGTCCATCCTCTCTCTGCTCTCCCTGCTCACCTCTGTTCCCTCTCCATGTTCCCTCTATGTTCCCTCTCATGTTCCTTCATGTTCCCTTCCTGTTCCCTCTCATGTTCCTCTCTGTTTCCCTCTCATGTTTCCCTCTCATGTGCCTCTCCTGGTCTCCCCATGGTCTCCCCTGGTCTCTTCTGGTCTCTCTGTTCTTCCTTTTCTATTCTGTCTATCTGTTCTCTCCTCTCTCTCCTGCTGTTTCCCTGTCTCTCTATCTCTCTTCCACTCTTCCTTCTCTTTCTGCTCTATCCCTCTCTCCACTCTCTCCGCTCTCTCCCGCTCTCTCCCCCCCCCCCCTTTTGCTGAGGGGACTCAGTCCCATGTGTGGACTCCTCTCAGTGTCTCCTTTCTCCCCCCTATCTCTCATCCCTTCCTCACTCTGCCTCCCCTCTCCTCTCCCTCTATTGTGGACTTCCTCTCCCCCTCTCCTCAGATCCTCTCCCGTAATGACAGGTTAAGTGGGGAGTTGCCGCTTCGGCTCGGGCGTCGCTGCTGCTGTTTTCTAATCACGCTGTTGCCGTGGTTACGCCTCCTCCAGCGATTTGGAAACAACATCTTTGAAGTGGTTTGGATCACTGGTTTGAGATCAACAAACATATTAGGCGTTCTGAAGGGTTGCCAGATACCGGGGGATGAGGGACATGTGTTGACTAAAGATTCTTATTCCCCGTGTCGAGACGGAAGGTGACTTCAGAGACCGATTCCCCCAAAACAAGATTTTCTTGGGTTTTGTTTTAAAGGATTAATTTTGTTTAATATACCCACTGAATGTTTAATTATTTGGAGTTTTATAATCACTCTGTCCCCAGTCAGAAATTAAGACAGTAAGTTTTAGAGAAGAGGAACGAACAGAGACCAGAAAGACACCAGAGAGAGACTAGCGAGAGAATACAGAGAGACCAGAAAGAGACAGAGGGAGACCAGGGAGAGGGGAGACCGAGAAGCGACTAGAGAGAAACAAGAGAGAGACCAGAGCTAGTAGCGAGACCAAAGCGAGACCAGAGAGAGACTAGAAAGGAGACCAGAGAGAGAGACCAGAGTGGGAACCAGAGAGAGACCAGACCAGGGACAGAAATGTAATATTTTAGTTATAGGCAGCAGGCAGTAGTATAGTGGACACCATAAGTTTGGGTCCCTGAGCTTTAACTGTGTCCGAGTCTGAATGACGCAGTCGTCGTGTGTCTGCAGCAGATGTTGTGTCTGACAGCCTCACACTGAGCTCCTGAGGCACACTGAGGCATATACACACACACCAGAGCACAGACCACGAGAGAAGACAGAGAGAGACCAAAGAGAACCAGAGAACGGGACCAGAGAGAGACCCGAGAGAGACAAGAGCAAACCAGAGAAAAGAGAACACAGAGAGAGGACCCGAGAGAGGACCAAAGAGAAACCAGAGAACCGAGACCAGAGAGAGACCAGAGAGAGACCACAGATGAAACCAGAGAACGAGACCAGGAGAGGAGCCCAGAGAGAGAGACAAACGAGAGACAGAGAGAGACAGAGAGAGACCAAAGAGTGCGCCAGAAAGGGCACCAAAGAGTGAGTCCAGAAAGGACACCAAAGAGTGAGAACCAGAGTGAGGACCAAAGAGTGAGACCAGAGAGAGACCAAAGAGTGAGACCAGAGAGAGACCAAAGAGTGAGACCGAGAGAGGAGACCAAGAGTGGACCAAAGAAGGACCAAAGAGAGGACCAGACAACGAGACAAAGTAGACCAGAGAGAGACCAAGGAGACACCATAGATTTGTTTTCCTGTTATTCTGGCTCTAATGACACATACACATATCTTCTGTACATTTATATTGTTTTTTGTTCAATATTGAGATTTTAAATGTGACAAAGTCTTTATGTAACTAAGACAATGAGGAACTTCTTAAATACAAAATTTGACGCAGTAAGTTAAGTGTGTGGAGTTTGACAGCGTTCCATTGAAATGAATGAGCTCATTGCTTACACAGAGGACCGAAATACAAACAGCTGCTACTTTCAACAATATTGCAGAGACCACACTGAGCTTTCCTCTGGCTTCGATGATTTTATTACATTTCTTATGGCATTGTGGGAAATTAAGACAGCTGAGGGCTAAGCTAGGGCAGGGCCTGGTTGGTTCTGTGGATGGGAGACCAAAAAGTGCCATATTAAAAACTGATCATTTTTATGTCATGTGGTGAACAATATGCTATAATCAAATATAATTTGAACTTAAGGACATCACTTTTAATACACTGTGGGGGACTTGGAACCAGCTTCCTCCACATGATCTATGTTGCCAGATGTGTCTTGTGTTGCCAGCCCAGGCCTCTTTCCTCTCTCTCATCTCTATCCTCTACCTTCTATTTTTCTCTCACCTATTGTGTTTTTCTATTGTTTGTCCTCTCTCTCTTCTTTTTCTTCATCTCTCTCCTCTTTCCTCCCTCGTCATCATTCTCCTCTCCTTCTCTTTCTCTCTCCTCCCTCTCTTCTTCTTTCTCTCTTCCCCGCTCTCTCTCCCTCTCTCCTCTCTCCTCCATCTCTTCCTCTCTGTCTCTCTACTCTCCCCCCCCCCCCATTCTAGCTCTCTATTTTCTCTGTGTCTTCTCTCTCCCTCCCCTGTCTTTCTCTCTCTATCCCCCCTCTCCTCTCCCTTCTCTTCTCTCTCACTCCTCTCTCTTCTTTCTCTTCCCCCCCACTCTCTCTTCTCTTTATACCCCCCCTCTCTCTCTCTCTCCCTCTCTTTCTCTTCACTCCTATCTCTGCTTTCTCTCTCGTCTCTCTTCCTCTCTTCCCTCTCTCTCTTTTTTCCGTCTCTCTCTCCCTCCCTTCTCTTCCTCTCTCTCTGCCCCTCTCCTCTTTCCTCGACTCTCCTCCCTCTCTCTCCCAATCTGGATTTGTCCTCACCCCAACAGGAAGTACTCGCGCTTGTCTGGCCTGTAATTTCCTGTCTGGCACGTGCGCCAGGGCCAAAACATCTCAGCTCATTCCAAACAATCATAAAAGTGGAGTGGAACCATAGTACTTGTGGACGGCACTCAGAGCTGAGCCGTGCAGAGACTCAGGAGCAGGGCCTGGAACGATGTCTGAGGCGGTGTTTAGACACATCCAGGCTACTCCGATAGTGTATGTGTGGTTAAAGCTGCAGTAAGACAATCTGTAATGGGGGTTACTGCTGCTCTGTACTGCTAAATGCTTCTGTACTACCGATAAGGCTACTGTACTGCTACTAAGCTACTGCTACTGCTGATAATGCTACGCTATGCGGCTACAGCTAATGTACGGCTAATGCTCCTGCTAATGCTACTGTGCTACTGCTACTGCTGCTGCTAATGCTACTGCTACTGCTGCTACTGCTAATGCTACTGCTTACTGATAGTACTGGGGTTTTAACTACTGCTACTGCGACTTTCCACAATAATAAATCTGACAGCATGATAAACAAGCTGTTGCGAATATTGTTAATACAGTCTGACTCCGCCCCTGAACAAATGCTCCTGGGCTGATCCCATTCACAGCATTTACCCTCTTCGTCATGGTTCTTTGCCTTTGGCTTGTTTAGTGAAGAATCGACAAAACTTCCCAATTTCTCGAGCCGCCCTTCTGTTTGATTTAGGACTATAAAAGTTTTGGCGCATAAAATAGTTTTACATATTTTAAAATAAATCAAAATTGCTTGACACTCTATTCAAATCAACTTCTAACTTGAACCGCCGGTCTTGAACGGAGCCTGGAGGGCTTTTTAAAATAATATTAATTAATTAATAATTTTTTAATTGATTAATATTATTAGTATTATCTATAGAACTTAAATGACTTCATGATAGACCAATATGTGCAATTTAAAATGTATAAATATATAATTATGAAGCCACAGGTGTCTTGCTTAAAGCAGACCCCCCACGTAACGCACCATTTCTGCTTTTTTAAGTACATAAATACATCTATTTTTCTCTCTCTCCGGGTGCAGTAGAAGCTCGTCCATGCCTTTGTCTCCCTCCAGGTTTGACATACTGCAACGCACTCCTCATCGGGATCCCTGGCAGGGATCCTTCAAAAGTCCTGTCGTACAAAAAAGCGTGGCCAGGATCTGATGAGGGTGCGGAAGCAGGAGCCATACCCCCATCCTTCACACCTCCACTGGTCCGTTCACCTCCGTATAGGAATACAAGGATCCTCTGCCACACCCACCACTGTCTCCACGGTGATACCCCCACGCTCACTGACCTCCCGCACTCCACACTCCTCATGCAGAAACCCGGTCAGGCCAACAGCACCGTCTGATCCCGCCCAGGACAGGCTCAAGAAACTGGGGGGACCGGGCCTTCGAGGCCGTGATCCCCGTCTGTGGAACGCCCCCGGACCACTCAGGGCCCACAGACGGTGGAAGCTTTAAAAGGGACTCAAAACCCATCTTTAACTAAAGCGTACTGCTAATTTTTGTTTGTGTTGTCTTTTATCCTGATGTATGTGTTTGCTTTATTTATGCTGCTGTTTGGCGCACTTGAGATTAGGTGTCAAATGTAAAGTGCATTATAAATAAAATGCTATCCATTTCCATTCATCCATTTTCTTTCGCTTTATCCCGTTGAGGGTCGCGGGGGGACAGCAGTCTAAGCAGAGACACCCAGACTTCCCTATTCACACACACTCCCTCCAGTCATCCGGGGGACCCAAGGCGTTCCCAGGCCAGCTGAGAGGGACATAGTTCTCCAGCGTGTCCTAGGTCTTCCGCGGGGGACCTAAATAAAATGTGTTTTCTTATGATTATTATTACTTTACTAACTTTTTTTTGCTTGGTCACCCTTGTATCTGTCCTCCACACATCCTCTGCTTACTTTTATACCAATATTCCTCTCAACATATTTCAGTGTAAGCATACAACAACAAAACTTTTTTCAAGCACTTTTAAACTGGATGAATAAGGTGGGAATAATTAAAAATCACACTGGTCAGCACTAAGTCTGTAGGCCTTTCCTCAAACACCAATTATTGAGTTATTGTGTAATCAAAAAGTGTGTTAAATGCACTTTAAACCTCACCAACATTCTTAACATGCAGTATTCTCATGTAGCAACAATGACAGAAGCGTGAGTGTCATCACCATAGTGTCAGCCCCGCGATGGAAACAATGTTATATATGAGGTCTCTTTAGTTCACAGAAATGTCCTTGTTTAAAAAAAATCTGATAAGGACTTGAGCTGGAAGTTGGCTGGATGACACTGTGAAGTTTTTTATCTAAATGGCTAGTGTGCAAGAAAGAGGACCACACAAACATGCATAGAGGGCCGCAGTTGCTCCAGGGAACCATAGTTTGGACGTTGTTTAGCCGAAGGACTGAGGCTGTAGACCCAGGACTGAGGCTGTAGACCCAGGACTGAGGCTGTAGACCCAGGACTGAGGCTGTAGACCCAGGACTGAGGCTGTAGACCTTTATTAAGGACCTTATCGCAGGTTTCTCTCGTGGACAAAGCAAATCAACACAAAACCATTAGAATTTAAGAGGTTTATTTTCCACATTAGTTTAAATCTAAACTTTACAAACAGGAAGTCACTTGAGCTCAGAGCAAACTGCACAGAGCAGAAAACAGACACATTTAAGTATTAATCAAAACAAAATGTTTTTTTACAATTGTAAAGAAATGCTTTAAGGTTATGTTCATGTGACATCACAACATTCCAAAAGGACCGAAAAGCCCCGTTTCCACCATTCCTACTCCGCTCTGCCAGAGTGCTGCTGGAAGCCATGGCTACCAAGGAATTTATAGATACTGGCTTGTTGTGAGTAGGATAGAGTAGAGTAGGACAGAGTAGGACAGAGTAGGATAGAGTAGGACAGAGTAGGACAGAGTAGGATAGAGTAGAGTAGAGTAGGACAGAGTAGGATAGAGTAGAGTAGAGTAGGACAGAGTAGGATAGAGTAGAGTAGAGTAGGACAGAGTAGGATAGAGTAGGATAGAGTAGGATAGAGTAGAGTAGAGTAGGACAGAGTAGGATAGAGTAGAGTAGAGTAGGGTAGAGTAGAGTAGGACAGAGTAGGATAGAGTAGGATAGAGTAGGGTAGAGTAGGGTAGAGTAGGACAGAGTAGAGTAGGACAGAGTAGGATAGAGTAGGATAGAGTAGGACAGAGTAGAGTAGAGTAGGACAGAGTAGGATAGAGTAGGATAGAGTAGAGTAGAGTAGGATAGAGTAGAGTAGAGTAGGGTAGAGTAGAGTAGGACAGAGTAGGATAGAGTAGGATAGAGTAGAGTAGGATAGAGTAGGGTAGAGTAGAGTAGGATAGAGTAGGATAGAGTAGGGTAGTGTAGGGTAGAGTAGGATAGAGTAGGGTAGAGTAGGACAGAGTAGGACAGAGTAGGATAGAGTAGGATAGAGTAGGATAGAGTAGGGTAGAGTAGAGTAGGACAGAGTAGGATATAGTAGGGTAGAGTAGAGTAGGATAGAGTAGGGTAGTGTAGGGTAGAGTAGGGTAGAGTAGGACAGAGTAGGACAGAGTAGGATAGAGTAGGATAGAGTAGGACAGAGTAGGGTAGAGTAGGATAGAGTAGGACAGAGTAGGATAGAGTAGGACAGAGTAGGACAGAGTAGGGTAGAGTAGGGTAGAGTAGAGACCTCACCAGACTCCAGGCCGTTTATGGTCCCAGAGGTTAAATGTAACAGGAAGAGTCCATTAAATATGACATCATCAGAAACTTAACGACAGTGAAACTCTGAAACGTTGTTGCTGATTTAATCTGGAATTTGAGGTTAAAGTTGAGGAAAGATTAGTTTAAAGTTTATTTATTAAGCACTCATTAGCGGTTATTCTAAAGTGTTAGCAACAGACCCCCGCCCCTTCTGCCCAAAGGCTCCGTTTCCAACACAGATAAATACATCCATGATCTGAGAGACACCGAGTAGCTCTCTTCACACCGAGTCCCTCCCTCTTCACACCGAGTCCCTCCCTCTTCACACCGAGTCCCTCCCTCTTCACACCGAGTCCGTCCCTCTTCACACCGAGTCCCTCCCTCTTCACACCGAGTCCGTCCCTCTTCACACCGAGTCCCTCCCTCTTCACACCGAGTCCCTCCCTCTTCACACCGAGTCCCTCCCTCTTCACACCGAGCCCCCCTCTTCACACCGAGTCCCTCCCTCTTCACACCGAGTCCGTCCCTCTTCACACCGAGTCCCTCCCTCTTCACACCGAGTCCCTCCCTCTTCACACCGAGTAGCTCTCTTCACACCGAGTCCCCCTCTTCACACAGAGTCCCTCCCTCTTCACACCGAGTCCCCCTCTTCACACCGAGTCCCCCTCTTCACACAGAGTCCCTCCCTCTTCACACCGAGTCCCCCTCTTCACACCGAGTCCCCCTCTTCACACCGAGTCCCCCTCTTCACACCGAGTCCCCCTCTTCACACCGAGTCGTCCCTCTTCACACCGAGTCCCCCTCTTCACACAGAGTCCCCCTCTTCACACCGAGTCGTCCCTCTTCACACCGAGTCCCCCTCTTCACACAGAGTCCCCCTCTTCACACCGAGTCGTCCCTCTTCACACCGAGTCCCCCTCTTCACAACCAGTCGTCCCTCTTCACACCGAGTCCCCCTCTTCACACGAGTCCCCCTCTTCACACCGAGTCCCCCTCTTCACACAGAGTCCCTCCCTCTTCACACCGAGTCCCCCTCTTCACACCGAGTCCCCCTCTTCACACCGAGTCCCCCTCTTCACACCGAGTCGTCCCCGTAGAGCAGCAGGGCCTGGTGTGAGAGGATGAAGGTGAAGAAGTAGACGCAGAGGTCGGCGAACACGTCGGCCATGCGGCGGTACGTGTCCATGGAGCGACTGATGACCTCGGCCGGGATCCCGGACAGAAGCAGCGCCGTGGTCAGGACCGTGGTCTGGGCCTTCATCTCCGCCTGCGGGCGAAACACAGGTTTTAAGATGTGTTACTGCTAATACTAGTATTACTGTGTCTAATACTAATATTACTGTGTCTAATACTAGTATTACTGTGTCTAAGACTAATATTACTGTGTCTAATACTAATATTACTGTGTCTAATACTAGTATTACTGTGTCTAATACTAGTATTACTGTGTCTAATACTAGTATTACTGTGTCTAATACTAATATTACTGTGTCTAATACTAGTATTACTGTGTCTAATACTAATATTACTGTGTCTAATACTAGTATTACTGTGTCTAATACTAATATTACTGTGTCTAATACTAGTATTACTGTGTCTAATACTAGTATTACTGTGTCTAATACTAGTATTACTGTGTCTAAGACTAATATTACTGTGTCTAATACTAATATTACTGTGTCTAATACTAGTATTACTGTGTCTAATACTAGTATTACTGTGTCTAATACTAGTATTACTGTGTCTAATACTAGTATTACTGTGTCTAATACTAATATTACTGTGTCTAATACTAGTATTACTGTGTCTAATACTAATATTACTGTCTAATACTAATATTACTGTGTCTAATACTAATATTACTGTGTCTAATACTAATATTACTGTGTCTAATACTAATATTACTGTGTCTAATACTAATATTACTGTGTCTAATACTAATATTACTGTGTCTAATACTAATATTACTGTGTCTAATACTAATATTACTGTGTCTAATACTAATATTACTGTGTCTAATACTAGTATTACTGTGTCTAAATACTAGTATTACTGTGTCTAATACTAGTATTACTGTGTCTAATACTAGTATTACTGTGTCTAATACTAGTATTACTGTGTCTAATACTAGTATTACTGTGTCTAATACTAGTATTACTGTGTCTAATACTAGTATTACTGTGTCTAATACTAGTATTACTGTGTCTAATACTAGTATTACTGTGTCTAATACTAGTATTACTGTGTCTAATACTAGTATTACTGTGTCTAATACTAGTATTACTGTGTCTAATACTAGTATTACTGTGTCTAATACTAGTATTACTGTGTCTAATACTAATATTACTGTGTCTAATACTAATATTACTGTGTCTAATACTAATATTACTGTGTCTAATACTAATATTACTGTGTCTAATACTAGTATTACTGTGTCTAATACTAGTATTACTGTGTCTAATACTAGTATTACTGTGTCTAATACTAATATTACTGTGTCTAATACTAGTATTACTGTGTCTAATACTAATATTACTGTGTCTAATACTAATATTACTGTGTCTAATACTAATATTACTGTGTCTAATACTAATATTACTGTGTCTAATACTAATATTACTGTGTCTAATACTAATATTACTGTGTCTAATACTAATATTACTGTGTCTAATACTAATATTACTGTGTCTAATACTAATATTACTGTGTCTAATACTAATATTACTGTGTCTAATACTAGTATTACTGTGTCTAATACTAGTATTACTGTGTCTAATACTAATATTACTGTGTCTAATACTAGTATTACTGTGTCTAATACTAATATTACTGTGTCTAATACTAATATTACTGTGTCTAATACTAGTATTACTGTGTCTAATACTAATATTACTGTGTCTAATACTAATATTACTGTGTCTAATACTAATATTACTGTGTCTAATACTAGTATTACTGTGTCTAATACTAATACTAGAGTTTTAGTGTATGTATGTCTGTGTGTGTGTCTGTGTGTGTGTGTCTGTGTCTCTGTGTCTGTGTGTGTGTCTCTGTGTCTGTCTGTGTGTGTGTCTGTGTGTGTGTGTGTGTGTGTCTGTGTCTCTGTGTGTGTGTGTGTGTGTGTGTCTCTGTGTCTGTGTCTGTGTGTGTGTGTGTCTCTGTGTCTGTGTGTGTGTGTCTCTGTGTCTGTGTGTGTGTGTGTGTGTCTGTGTCTCTGTGTGTGTCTGTGTCTCTGTGTGTGTGTGTGTGTGTGTGTGTGTGTGTCTGTGTGTGTGTGTCTCTGTGTCTGTCTGTGTGTGTGTGTGTGTGTGTGTGTGTCTGTGTCTCTGTGTGTGTGTGTGTGTGTGTGTCTGTGTGTGTGTCTCTGTGTCTGTGTGTGTGTGTGTGTGTGTCTGTCTCTGTGTGTGTGTGTGTGTCTGTGTCTCTGTCTGTGTGTGTCTCTGTGTCTGTCTGTGTCTGTGTGTGTATCTGTGTGTGCGTCTGTCTGTGTGTGTCTCTGTGTCTGTCTGTGTCTGTGTCTGTGTGTGTATCTGTGTGTGTATCTGTGTGTGCGTCTGTCTGTGTGTGTCTGTGTCTCTGTGTGTGTGTGTGTGTCTCTGTGTCTGTCTGTGTCTGTCTCTGTGTGTGTATCTGTGTGTGCGTCTGTCTGTGTGTGTCTGTGTCTGTGTGTGTGTGTGTAAACTAAACTTACAGACCCCAGCTTTAATATTCCCAGTGACACTGACCTTTGGGAAGTACTTGGACAAACCCATGAACCCGAGCTCCAGGGTCAGGAACGGAGCGAAGATCGACTGGAACACAATTATGACATCATCATGAGGACCAGGTGGGTCTAGGCCTCAGTCCTGGGTCTAGGCCTCGGTCCAGGGTCTAGGCCTCAGTCCTGGGTCTACGGCCTCGGTCCAGGGTCTACGGCCTCGGTCCAGGGTCTACGGCCTCGGTCCAGGGTCTACGGCCTCGGTCCTGGGTCTACGGCCTCGGTCCAGGGTCTACGGCCTCGGTCCTGGGTCTACGGCCTCGGTCCAGGGTCTACGGCCTCGGTCCAGGGTCTACGGCCTCGGTCCTGGGTCTACGGCCTCGGTCCAGGGTCTACGGCCTCGGTCCTGGGTCTACGGCCTCGGTCCTGGGTCTACGGCCTCGGTCCTGGGTCTACGGCCTCGGTCCAGGGTCTACGGCCTCGGTCCTGGGTCTACGGCCTCGGTCCTGGGTCTACGGCCTCGGTCCTGGGTCTACGGCCTCGGTCCTGGGTCTACGGCCTCGGTCCAGGGTCTACGGCCTCGGTCCTGGGTCTACGGCCTCGGTCCAGGGTCTACGGCCTCGGTCCTGGGTCTACGGCCTCGGTCCTGGGTCTACGGCCTCGGTCCTGGGTCTACGGCCTCGGTCCTGGGTCTACGGCCTCGGTCCTGGGTCTACGGCCTCGGTCCAGGGTCTACGGCCTCGGTCCAGGGTCTACGGCCTCGGTCCAGGGTCTACGGCCTCGGTCCTGGGTCTACGGCCTCGGTCCTGGGTCTACGGCCTCGGTCCTGGGTCTACGGCCTCGGTCCAGGGTCTACGGCCTCGGTCCTGGTCTACGGCCTCGGTCCAGGGTCTACGGCCTCGGTCCTGGGTCTACGGCCTCGGTCCAGGGTCTACGGCCTCGGTCCTGGGTCTACGGCCTCGGTCCAGGGTCTACGGCCTCGGTCCTGGGTCTACGGCCTCGGTCCTGGGTCTACGGCCTCGGTCCTGGGTCTACGGCCTCGGTCGGGTCTACGGCCTCGGTCCTGGGTCTACGGCCTCGGTCCTGGGTCTACGGCCTCGGTCCTGGGTCTACGGCCTCGGTCCTGGGTCTACGGCCTCGGTCCAGGGTCTACGGCCTCGGTCCTGGGTCTACGGCCTCGGTCCTGGGTCTACGGCCTCGGTCCTGGGTCTACGGCCTCGGTCCTGGGTCTACGGCCTCGGTCCTGGGTCTACGGCCTCGGTCCAGGGTCTACGGCCTCGGTCCTGGGTCTACGGCCTCGGTCCAGGGTCTACGGCCTCGGTCCTGGGTCTACGGCCTCGGTCCAGGGTCTACGGCCTCGGTCCTGGGTCTACGGCCTCGGTCCTGGGTCTACGGCCTCGGTCCTGGGTCTACGGCCTCGGTCCTGGGTCTACGGCCTCGGTCCTGGGTCTACGGCCTCGGTCCAGGGGTCCTACGGCCTCGGTCCAGGGTCTACGGCCTCGGTCCTGGGTCTACGGCCTCGGTCCAGGGTCTACGGCCTCGGTCCTGGGTCTACGGCCTCGGTCCTGGGTCTACGGCCTCGGTCCTGGGTCTACGGCCTCGGTCCTGGGTCTACGGCCTCGGTCCTCCCTGGTCTCTACGGCCTCAGTCCTGGGTCTACGGCCTCGGTCCTGGGTCTACGGCCTCGGTCCAGGGTCTACGGCCTCGGTCCTGGGTCTACGGCCTCGGTCCAGGGTCTACGGCCTCGGTCCTGGGTCTACGGCCTCGGTCCTGGGTCTTACCAGATACTTGCAGACGAACACTCTCACAAACAGAGCCAGGAGGACGCTGCCAACGATCCGGAAAACCCTGAAGGCGTCGAACTCCTCTGGCTCCGCCCCCGAGTCTGCAGCCGGCTTCTCATTGGCCAGCTGTCCGCGCAGCTTCATGGCATCATCAAAGCGCGACAAGTATTTGTGAAGACCTTTCCCGGGCATCTCCCTCACCTCCAACAACACATCAACAAATGTACGTGAGTATATACATGAAACAAGAAGCAGACCATGGGAGGCCGACAGGGACCATGGGAGGCCGACAGGGACCATGGGAGGCCGACAGGGACCATGGGAGGCCGACAGGGACCAGGGGAGACCGACAGGGACCATGGGAGACCGACAGGGACCAGGGGAGGCCGACAGGGACCAGGGGAGGCCGACAGGGACCATGGGAGACCGACAGGGACCAGGGGAGGCCGACAGGGACCATGGGAGACCGACAGGGACCAGGGGAGGCCGACAGGGACCAGGGTAGGCCGACAGGGACCATGGGAGGCCGACAGGGACCATGGGAGACCGACAGGGACCATGGGAGGCCGACAGGGACCATGGGAGACCGACAGGGACCAGGGGAGGCCGACAGGGACCAGGGTAGGCCGACAGGGACCAGGGGAGGCCGACAGGGACCATGGGAGACCGACAGGGACCATGGGAGACCGACAAGGACCAGGGGAGGCCGACAGGGACCAGGGGAGGCCGACAGGGACCATGGGAGACCGACAGGGACCATGGGAGACCGACAGGGACCAGGGGAGGCCGACAGGGACCATGGGAGACCGACAGGGACCATGGGAGGCCGACAGGGACCATGGGAGACCGACAGGGACCATGGGACTGAGGACGGGAGCCGACAGGGACCAGGGGAGGCCGACAGGGACCATGGGAGGCCGACAGGGACCATGGGAGGCCGACAGGGACCAGGGAGGCCGACAGGGACCATGGGAGGCCGACAGGGACCATGGGAGGCCGACAGGGACCAGGGGAGGCCGACAGGGACCATGGGAGGCCGACAGGGACCAGGGTAGGCCGACAGGGACCATGGGAGACCGACAGGGACCATGGGAGACCGACAGGGACCAGGGGAGGCCGACAGGGACCAGGGGAGGCCGACAGGGACCATGGGAGACCGACAGGGACCAGGGGAGGCCGACAGGGACCAGGGGAGGCCGACAGGGACCATGGGAGGCCGACAGGGACCATGGGAGACCGACAGGGACCAGGGGAGGCCGACAGGGACCATGGGAGGCCGACAGGGATCATGGGAGGCCGACAGGGACCAGGGGAGGCCGACAGGGACCATGGGAGACCGACAGGGACCATGGGAGACCGACAGGGACCAGGGAGGCCGACAGGGACCAGGGGAGGCCGACAGGGACCATGGGAGGCCGACAGGGATCATGGGAGGCCGACAGGGACCAGGGGAGGCCGACAGGGACCATGGGAGACCGACAGGGACCATGGGAGACCGACAGGGACCAGGGGAGGCCGACAGGGACCATGGGAGGCCGACAGGGACCAGGGGAGGCCGACAGGGACCATGGGAGACCGACAGGGACCATGGGAGACCGACAGGGACCAGGGGAGGCCGACAGGGACCAGGGGAGGCCGACAGGGACCATGGGAGGCCGACAGGGACCATGGGAGGCCGACAGGGACCAGGGGAGGCCGACAGGGACCATGGGAGGCCGACAGGGACCATGGGAGGCCGACAGGGACCAGGGGAGGCCGACAGGGACCATGGGAGACCGACAGGGACCATGGGAGACCGACAGGGACCAGGGGAGGCCGACAGGGACCAGGGGAGGCCGACAGGGACCATGGGAGGCCGACAGGGATCATGGGAGGCCGACAGGGACCAGGGGAGGCCGACAGGGACCATGGGAGACCGACAGGGACCATGGGAGACCGACAGGGACCAGGGGAGGCCGACAGGGACCATGGGAGATCGACAGGGACCAGGGGAGGCCGACAGGGACCATGGGAGACCGACAGGGACCAGGGGAGGCCGACAGGGACCATGGGAGGCCGACAGGGACCATGGGAGACCGACAGGGACCAGGGGAGGCCGACAGGGACCATGGGAGACCGACAGGGACCAGGGTTGGCCGACAGGGACCATGGGAGGCCGACAGGGACCAGGGTAGGCCGACAGGGACCAGGGGAGGCCGACAGGGACCATGGGAGGCCGACAGGGACCAGGGGAGACCGACAGGGACCAGGGGAGACCGACAGGGACCAGGGGAGACCGACAGGGACCATGGGGAGACCGACATTAGCATACAACACTTCTGGAACACTTTAGTTTCACTTTCACTAATTAAGACATAAAAAAGTGCTAATTAGTTTAAAGTTTATTTATTAAGCACTCATTAGCGGTTAATCTAAAGTGTTAGCAACAGACCCCCGCCCCTTCTGCCCAAAGGCTCCGTTTCCAACACAAACAAATACATCCATGATCTGAGAGACACCGAGTAGCTCTCTTCACACCGAGTCCTCCCTCTTCACACCGAGTAGCTCTCTTCACACCGAGCCCTCTTCACACCGAGTCCCTCCCTCTCCACACCGAGTCCCTCCCTCTTCACACCGAGTCCCTCCCTCTTCACACCGAGTCCCTTCCTCTTCACACCGAGTCCCTCCCTCTTCACACCGAGTCCCTCCCGCGATAGTCCTGGTCTCAGTAGGACCACGATAGTCCTGGTCTCAGTAGGACCACGATAGTCCTGGTCTCAGTAGGACCACGATAGTCCTGGTCTCAGGCCTCTGTGTTATGATTTACTGTGAGGTTTAACGACTGAAGTGAAGCCGAGACTAAAGAAACCGTTTATGGACCTGAAGGAAACATGGGGGTACATATTTACATATTTATATATTTAAATATTTACACATTTAAATATTTACACATTTAAATATTTACACATTTAAATATTTACACATTTAAATATTTACACATTTAAATATTTACACATTTACATATTTACAATGAAACTGCAGAATGAAAAGTTCATTTGTTTTCTGTTGTGGTTCAACAGAAAGAGAAACAATAAAATCCAGCAATTGTCCAATGGTCTCAATCTCGGTCCAGTCTCGGTCCAGTCTCGGGCCAGTCTCGGGCCAGTCTCGGGCCAGTCTCGGGCCAGTCTCGGGCCAGTCTCGGGCCAGTCTCGGGCCAGTCTCGGTCCAGTCTCGGTCCAGTCTCGGTCCAGTCTCGGGCCAGTCTCGGGCCAGTCTCGGGCCAGTCTCGGGCCAGTCTCGGTCCAGTCTCGGTCCAGTCTCGGTCCAGTCACAGATTGAAAACAGAACTGGTCTCACCTCGCTCGGGTCCTGCTCCACGGCGCCCTCCAGAGGTTTACTGCAGTCTGGTTGGTGGGAGGGGCTTGTGTCTGAAGGGGAGGGGCTTGTGTGGATGGGGGAGGGGCGGGACAGTGGGGGGGTCCAGGACTGAGACCCGTCCAGGTCCAGGTGGAAGCGCGGCTCCGAGGAACGAACGGAGACGTCTGTGGAAAAAAACAAGGGTTACTTTACTGTGTAGCTCTCTGGAGGAGAAAGCACTAAAGAAACAGTAGCTCTCTGGAGGAGAAAGCACTAAAGAAACAGTAGCTCTCTGGAGGAGAAAGCACTAAAGAAACAGTAGCTCTCTGGAGGAGAAAGCACTAAAGAAACAGTAGCTCTCTGGAGGAGAAAGCACTAAAGAAACAGTAGCTCTCTGGAGGAGAAAGCACTAAAGAAACAGTAGCTCTCTGGAGGAGAAAGCACTAAAGAAACAGTAGCTCTCTGGAGGAGAAAGCACTAAAGAAACAGTAGCTCTCTGGAGGAGAAAGCACTAAAGAAACAGTAGCTCTCTGGAGGAGAAAGCACTAAAGAAACAGTAGCTCTCTGGAGGAGAAAAGCACTAAAGAAACAGTAGCTCTCTGGAGGAGAAAGCACTAAAGAAACAGTAGCTCTCTGGAGGAGAAAGCACTAAAGAAACAGTAGCTCTCTGGAGGAGAAAGCACTAAAGAAACAGTAGCTCTCTGGAGGAGAAAGCACTAAAGAAACAGTAGCTCTCTGGAGGAGAAAGCACTAAAGAAACAGTAGCTCTCTGGAGGAGAAAGCACTAAAGAAACAGTAGCTCTCTGGAGGAGAAAGCACTAAAGAAACAGTAGCTCTCTGGAGGAGAAAGCACTAAAGAAACAGTAGCTCTCTGGAGAGAAAGCACTAAAGAAACAGTAGCTCTCTGGAGGAGAAAGCACTAAAGAAACAGTAGCTCTCTGGAAGAGAAAGCACTAAAGAAACAGTAGCTCTCTGGAGGAGAAAGCACTAAAGAAACAGTAGCTCTCTGGAGGAGAAAGCACTAAAGAAACAGTAGCTCTCTGGAGGAGAAAGCACTAAAGAAACAGTAGCTCTCTGGAGGAGAAAGCACTAAAGAAACAGTAGCTCTCTGGAGGAGAAAGCACTAAAGAAACAGTAGCTCTCTGGAGGAGAAAGCACTAAAGAAACAGTAGCTCTCTGGAGGAGAAAGCACTAAAGAAACAGTAGCTCTCTGGGAGGAGAAAGCACTAAAGAAACAGTAGCTCTCTGGAGGAGAAAGCACTAAAGAAACAGTAGCTCTCTGGGAGAGAAAGCACTAAAGAAACAGTAGCTCTCTGGAGGAGAAAGCACTAAAGAAACAGTAGCTCTCTGGAGGAGAAAGCACTAAAGAAACAGTAGCTCTCTGGAGGAGAAAGCACTAAAGAAACAGTAGCTCTCTGGAGGAGAAAGCACTAAAGAAACAGTAGCTCTCTGGAGGAGAAAGCACTAAAGAAACAGTAGCTCTCTGGAGGAGAAAGCACTAAAGAAACAGTAGCTCTCTGGAGAGAAGAAAGCACTAAAAGAAAAGAACAGTAGCTCTCTGGAGGAGAAAGCACTAAAGAAACAGTAGCTCTCTGGAGGAGAAAGCACTAAAGAAACAGTAGCTCTCTGGAGGAGAAAGCACTAAAGAAACAGTAGCTCTCTGGGAGGAGAAAGCACTAAAGAAACAGTAGCTCTCTGGAGGAGAAAGCACTAAAGAAACAGTAGCTCTCTGGAGGAGAAAGCACTAAAGAAACAGTAGCTCTCTGGAGGAGAAAGCACTAAAGAAACAGTAGCTCTCTGGAGGAGAAAGCACTAAAGAAACAGTAGCTCTCTGGAGGAGAAAGCACTAAAGAAACAGTAGCTCTCTGGAAGAGAAAGCACTAAAGAAACAGTAGCTCTCTGGAAGAGAAAGCACTAAAGAAACAGTAGCTCTCTGGAGGAGAAAGCACTAAAGAAACAGTAGCTCTCTGGAGGAGAAAGCACTAAAGAAACAGTAGCTCTCTGGAGGAGAAAGCACTAAAGAAACAGTAGCTCTCTGGAGGAGAAAGCACTAAAGAAACAGTAGCTTTCTGGGAGGAGAAAGCACTAAAGAAACAGTAGCTCTCTGGAGGAGAAAGCACTAAAGAAACAGTAGCTCTCTGGAGGAGAAAGCACTAAAGAAACAGTAGCTCTCTGGAGGAGAAAGCACTAAAGAAACAGTAGCTCTCTGGAGGAGAAAGCACTAAAGAAACAGTAGCTCTCTGGAGGAGAAAGCACTAAAGAAACAGTAGCTCTCTGGAGGAGAAAGCACTAAAGAAACAGTAGCTCTCTGGGAGGAGAAAGCACTAAAGAAACAGTAGCTCTCTGGAGGAGAAAGCACTAAAGAAACAGTAGCTCTCTGGAGGAGAAAGTTGCTAGGATACGGTACCAGATACGAAAGCAAAATATAATATATAACACAACCGAGTAGGGTAGGGTACAGTAGGGTAGGGTACAGTAGGGTAGGGTACAGTAGGGTAGGATAGGTTACAGTAGGGTAGGGTACAGTAGGGTAGGATAGGATACAGTAGGGTAGGGTACAGTACAGTAGGGTCCAGTAGGGTAGGGTACAGTAGGGTAGGATAGGGTACAGTAGGGTAGGGTACAGTAGGATAGGATAGGATACAGTACAGTAGGATAGGATACAGTACAGTAGGGTCCAGTAGGGTAGGGTACAGTAGGGTAGGGTCCAGTAGGGTAGGGTACAGTAGGGTAGGGTACAGTAGCATAGGGTACAGTACAGTAGTGTAGGGTACAGTACAGTAGGGTACAGTACAGTAGGGTAGGGTACAGTACAGTAGTGTAGGGTACAGTACAGTAGGGTAGGGTACAGTACAGTAGGGTACAGTAGGGTAGGGTACAGTAGGGTAGGGTACAGTAGGGTAGGGTACAGTGCAGTAGGGTACAGTGCAGTAGGGTAGGGTACAGTACAGTGCAGTAGGGTACAGTACAGTAGGGTACAGTACAGTACAGTAGTGTAGGGTACAGTACAGTAGGGTAGGGTACAGTACAGTAGGGTACAGTACAGTAGGGTACAGTAGGGTAGGGTACAGTAGGGTAGGGTACAGTACAGTAGGGTACAGTACAGTAGGGTACAGTACAGTAGGGTACAGTAGGATAGGGTACAGTACAGTAGGGTACAGTAGGATAGGGTACAGTACAGTAGGGTACAGTACAGTAGTGTAGGGTACAGTACAGTAGGGTAGGGTACAGTAGGGTACAGTACAGTAGGGTAGGGTACAGTACAGTAGGGTAGGGTACAGTAGGGTACAGTAGGGTAGGGTACAGTACAGTAGTGTACAGTACAGTAGGGTACAGTAGGATAGGGTACAGTACAGTAGGGTACAGTAGGATAGGGTACAGTACAGTAGGGTACAGTACAGTAGTGTAGGGTACAGTACAGTAGGGTAGGGTACAGTACAGTAGGGTAGGGTACAGTAGGGTAGGGTACAGTACAGTAGGGTACAGTACAGCACAGTACAGTAGGGTAGGGTACAGTACAGTAGGGTACAGTAGAAACAGGGCTCAGTCTGTTTACAGATTAATGACCTTCGAGTCATACATTACAGTTATATATTATATAAACCATGTATATACAGTGGGGCCAAAAAGTATTTAGTCAGCCACTGATTGTACAAGTTTCTCCCACTTAAAATAATGACAGAGGTCTGTAATGTTCATCATAATTACAACTTCAACTGTGAGAGACAGAATGTGTAAAAACAATCCAGGAATTCACATTGTAGGATTTTTAAAGAATCCCCACTGTATGTACTATATAAACCATGTATAAATATATATACTATATAAACCATGTATAAATATATATACTATATAAACCATGTATAAATATATATACTATATAAACCATGTATAAATATATATACTATATAAACCATGTATAAATATATATACTATATAAACCATGTATAAATATATATACTATATAAACCATGTATAAATATATATACTATATAAACCATGTATAAATATATATACTATATAAACCATGTATAAATATATATACTATAAACCATGTATATACAGTATATATACTATAAACCATGTATAAATATATATACTATATAAACCATGTATAAATATATATACTATAAACCATGTATATACAGTATATATACTATAAACCATGTATATGTATATCTTTAGTGCTGTTTCCTGTGCTTGTTCTTAGATTTCAGGTCAGTCGCTGGAGTTGGTGGGACCCCCCTCTGACCTCTGACCTCTGACCTCAGTATCTGTGGCTTCTTTGGCTTCATGGTTCTGAGTTCGGCAGCAGCATTAAGGGTCTTGCCCAAGGACCAACACTGGATGTTGGTGTTAATGTGGTCCCGGTGGGATTCGAACCCTGGCCTCCCAGGTCCCAGCCCTGCGCCCTACCAACATATCTAATACATATATAATACCAGTGGCGGCCGGCCAATAGAGGGCGCTAGGGCGCCGCCCCACCACTCACAACTTGCCATGTTACCTTGAATAAAACGTTAAAAAAAATAATAACATTAAAATATTTCGAAATGTATGTGTGTTTTATTTCAGATGTGGAAGAAATACTTTATAGTTTATGCTGAGTTGGATTGATTAAGCTCATCAGCGTTGTCTGTGTCGGACTGAGGACGTATTTCCGCCTCAGGAGCCGTCTATGGACTCTCGTTAAAAGTTGTACATGCGCAGTAGCTCCTCTTCAATGCAAGAGATAAGACGATTTGGGGGCGCAGGAGAAGTGCGCCCTGAGGGGGCGGGATCGCCCGCGACCTGTACTGTCACTGTCTGTGACGTCCGTTTACAGTGATCAGTGTTGCCAACTTAGCGACTTTGTCGCTAGATTTAGCGACTTTTCAGACCCCTATAGCGACTTTTTTTCAAAAAAGCGACTAGCGACAAATCTAGCGACTTTTTCTGGTGTTATTGGCGACTTATCTGGTGTTATTGGCGACTTATCTGGTGTTTTGGCGACTTATCTGGTGTTTTGGAGACTCGTGAAGCACGTATTGTTCTGCTGTCCTCAACGTGAGCCCCTCCCCCGTCCCAAAGCACTTACAGGCGGCCAGTCTCACAGTAGCCTTGCGCAGCAGTCCCAGCTACAGTCTATGGGCGGAGCAGAGAGAGAGAGAGGAGACTCAAAAGCACAGGAAGTTTTCAGGCTGCT